CGGGACGAGAACACCAAGTCTTTTCATACATCTACCATGATAAGGAGGAGAAAGTGTTGGGACCGTCGGCTCACCCCATGACGCAGCGGAAATAAAAATTCGACCGTCTCACCAGCGATCCAAGTACGATAAACTGAAATCGAGAGGAAAGGATGCGAATACTTACAGTGGGTTCCTTGAAAAACAACAAGGATAACAGCGGCTAATGGGTGGTATCGGTTCGAACGTAGCCTCCAAAAACCACGCCTCTACTCAGGTCACCCGATTGAAAGTAATATTGCTTTTCCAAAACTGTTTGACAAAAAACGGCTGAAGATAATGTAAAACGCTGCTACCTACACTCTCCTTATATCCAAGTTACCCTAACATATTAGGGATTTTATTATTTCAAATTAATTAGATCTTTATTTAATTAATTTAAATTAAACATTCAGGATAATTAAAATATATGTATATCAAATATGCATATATTAACTCTAGATATATTTTAGTAACATACAATAAATTGTACATATTTGCTCATTTCAATCCTAGGGTGTGACCTTGCAGGTTCTTATAATGTTAGCAGTAATTATTAGAACAATTTTATTATTACATACAATGAGTGACATCTAGCAATATATCATTGTCACCTAAGTTACAAGAAAATATGTTTCGACATATCATCTTCGAGATTAACTCTTTTATGCATTACATCCTTTTTTCATTTATATCTAGAATAGGAACTAGCCTTGGAATAGTCACTATTGTATAGTCCATCTATTGTTTCTTGATATCTAGAGTAAACTTTAATTAGCGAATAATTTGTGATATCTCATATCAACTTATTCGAGCATGGCCATGCATTTCTATTCTCACTCAATCAAGTGGCCTGTGATATAGTTCCTATTATGTAAGAATGACAAATCTATCTTAATCATACACACCCACTACATATATTGAGATATATTCAATAACAATCTTTATAGAGCAACCAGTTACAAAGCATGTTAAACTGCATCAAAAATACAACAATATATGTTGGGATAACATTGATCTCGAGTCTGAGGATTATACATATAGTCATCACCATGAGCAATGTTATGACTGTCACATAATAATCCAAGACATATGCTCATGGTGGGTCAATCCAATACATTGTTCTCTAGCAATATAATCATGTATCAATTCTAACATTTCTATGTCAATGACAACTCGTTGTCATCAATCAATAACATGTTAGTCTTAAGCGTATTATTATTATCCATGCCCATAATAATACTTGACTAGGGATCTTTTAATAATAACAATTGTGTTATTATATAGACTTTATTATCTTCCGGTTTATGTTAAACACATATATATAACTGAAAATAATAGCGGCAATGCCTTTATTCAATAAAATCGGTAAATTAAATATCATATAATTGGTCTTTGGGCATACTCTAACAAAAAGAACACAATAATGACATAAAAATGAGGAAGATGAATGAGTTGCAGGTTAAGATGAGTTGAAATCACTGGTTGTGATTTTTTTTCAAAAACAATTCAAAAGCTCACGAGTGCAAGATAAGGAACATCCTATTAGAGGTATGTTTTCAAAAATAGAACATAAAGTTGTCTAGTTTCTTTTATGTTCGGTGTCCCATGCGCCCTAACGCGCCGCGTGCGTGTGTTGGACCGTCTAGGCGATTTTAAATTCAAAACCGGCTGAACCAGCTTGCTGCTGGACTATACCGGCTGAACTGCTCAAATTGTTGACCCGATCGTTGAACCGGTCAACCCATTAACCCTATCGTTGATCGTTAACTGTTGACTTTTTCTGAAAACCTTATCTTTATATTTTTCAACATCCTGAGTCTGTTCCAGATTCTGACCCAAAAGCCCTATTTTACCTCGTTTTCCGTATTAAATTTTAATTATGTTAAGTAAAGTGTGGGGTTTTGAATTCACTTTTGGGTTTAATTTTCTTAAGGTACCATAGCATTTCCGAAACACTTTCCAATTGACACTGATCAGTACCACCCTCCTCAGGTCGATTCCGATCACTCGTCCCAAGATACACGTAAGTATTAGATTGGTATTTTATGGCATATTTTGTTTAGTGGTTGGCATCTGTATTTATGGTAGAGTACTATTTCAGGTTCTCGATCCGTAGGACCTAATACTACTGACTGGGAAGCGTAAGGCTTAACTAACTCGGTTATCTTCTTTAGGTGTGTCTTCTTACCTAATTAATACTCGAATATGTTAGATGTTAAGTTAATACTTCTGCTTAAAGTATGTTTGTAATTTTGGTATTTTATGGCATATTTTGTTTAGTGGTTGGCATCTGTATTTATGGTAGAGTACTATTTCAGGTTCTCGATCCGTAGGACCTAATACTACTGACTGTGGGAAGCGTAAGGCTTAACTAACATCGGTTATCTTCTTTAGGTGTGTCTTCTTTACCTAATTAATACTCGAATATGTTAGACTGTTAAGTTAATACTTCTGCTTAAAGTATGTTTGTAATTTGGTTACACTTACATGTATCATTCATATTTTTGAATAGTGTTGCACCATTGTTTATCTGCTTATTGATGTCGTTATGATATGTATGAGATTAATTCCTCATTCTGACATCTGCATGGGATTATATCCCCGTTCTATTTTTCTGTAGCGAAAGGTAAAGTAGGGTTCCCTTGGTACTGCTTTCTGTTCATTAAATTTGGATTTAATGTTATACTTTAATTGCATTGTTTTGCATATTCTTGATTATCTACTTTACTTTAGAGGGCACACATGGCTTCGTAGCTCATTTTCTAGTTTTTGTCTTTTCAAATCACTTAGACTTTTATGATTTACGATCAGTACTTGGAGGATCGCTTATTACCATTCTCTTCCAGACATCGTATGAATGTTTTTTTTCAGACTTTTTATTATTTATTTTCTGTTGAATGTATATATATATATATATATATATATATATATATATTGTGTATTTCCTTTTTATAGGAATTGGGATAAGGATTTCCTTACTGTTTTCGAATCTAGAACTCGTGGTATGTTTTTATGTATTAAGAACTCTTGAATTCTTTTGACGATTTAACGACGATGCATGGCAAGACATGAGTTTTTCTTGATTTCTGTTTAATCTAACGATGTCGTGGTCTCTGAGATTCGGCCGTGACGTCTAGGCCGGGTCTAGAGGGTTACATCTTAAGTGTTGGAAGCTTTTTGAGTAGTTTTCTCATTTTAGCCATTGAGAAAAAAATCGGTGGGGATAGCAGAGATAACTGGTTTGCGAATAATCTGAATAAGGATCATCTTGATTACTTTTATTGACTGTTTGCTACACTTAGTGTTATTGGATTGACTCTCTTTTTATGTTATGCAAAATCTTACATTTATGCTCGGGGTTGTGCCTTATAGATTGAGGAATTCAGAGGTTAGTATAGTTGTCTAGTGCAGTCATTTGTAAAAGGTAGCATGCAACTATTCTACGGTGTTATTCTACATATCACAATGATATCGATCATTGTAAATGTAATATAATATGTTGTAAAGTGAGTTACTACTTGAATGTTGTATTAAAAATGCAAATCAGGATGATGAAGAAGAAAAAAAAGGAATAAGAAGAAATAAGAAAGGGGAGTTAAGGGGGTTAAGTGCCACGACAGTAAAAACTAATAGGAAATAACGACAAGGATCAAAAAGAAAACGAACTAAAAGTTTGATGATTGTATTGCAAGTTTCAAAAGTTGAGTGACCAAAATGTAAGCACACTAAAAGTTTGGGGACTATTATATATTTTACCCTAAAAATTAATATTCATTTTTATAAAAAAATTTAAATAAAAAAATAAATTTTAAAATAATTTAATGATCATTTCTAATCTTTACCTTGAAAGATTGTAAATTCTTTTCGAACATAAAAGATGAAGAGATTGAATCATATAAACAATATTTAAACTAATGATTTCTTTTTTGGTTCCAAACTTTATGATTTGTTTGCAAACTTTCAAGTTATTGCATAATGGGGTTTGAAAGAAAATAACAAAAGAGAAAGAAAAGCAAGGAATAACAAAACCATGAATAACAGCAGCCGTGGCGAAGAACATCAGCGTAACAAAGAAAGCCTTGATTCCAGATTAAACCAAACCCTCGAGAATGTCCGAGGGTACCCCTTTTTTAACCATTTCAATTTCACATTATTTTCCTTTTTTAACTCGTGCTTTTGCCCCTTGGATTTAGATTTAGATACCCAATTGACAAATATCTACGGATCTTTCGAATTTCACTTCTTATTCTCAATTCACGTGGAAGAATTTTTCTCTTTAGTGGGAAAACTTTGATTTCCCAAAATTTTCCAATTAGGTTTGTTGAGTTTAAATTGTGCGTTGATTTAACAACCTTTTTTTTTGGAAGATATTCTCTTATCTTTGCACTAAGATTGAAAGACACTTTTTTTTCACTCTAGAAATGTCTGATTTTGGCGTATGTTGTAATTTGATCATGCCATTGTTGTTGGAGAATCATATAATCACATAGTTCATAAAGGTTATGGGAAAAAATGTTACTAGCTTTTAGACATGCTTACCGATGATAACATTGCTGAGAATGGATTTCATGATGCCAATTGGCTGAAGCTTGATGTTAACATGAGTTGAAATTAGCTTACTCCAGATTTATTGCTTTGGCTGTAAATAATTATTTCTTTCATGCGTCCTATCAAGGTTGCTTAAAGGTTGCAGTATTCCGGGTAAAGTATTATTGACCAGAAGGCCAGTTCACTTGATGATTCAGGTTTACAAGAACGATCCACCACTTATCAAAGAAGCATCTCACATAGCGATGCTGGCATAAGTGACGACATGGACAAGTCCTTAGAGGTGAGGTTTAGAGTGTAAGTGTGTATTATTCATTCTATTACTAAAATACTGCACTGATTTATTCTTTTACTAGTGTGACTTTAGAGTTCTTTAAAAGTCTGTGATATCCTTAACTGAAAAACATTTATTCATTTAGGCAGGGGTCAGAAATACAAATAACTCAAATAGTAATACAGCTGTTAATAATTCAAGATCTTCCAAGTAGAAGATCGAGAAAGCTGCCAATGAAGCTCAGAGCTCTGAAACGGGCACAAGAGCTACTGATTCTGCCAGGGTTACAAAGTTCTCTAGAGAACTCTCAGGACAAACGGTCATTTTAGGTACCATATCTGCTTTGTTGCTCCGAGAATGATTTTAATATATATATATATATATACACACACACACACACACATATGATTGTAGTGTTGATTTGATTAATATGTCTCTTGCAGAGAGATTATGTGAGCTTGGAGTGGTGTTCCACCTTACATGCATTCTAATGTATGGAGACTTCTGTTGGTAAGCTCAGAAGTATCAGATTTAGGCATTAGGTGGACTTGAACTCTATGAACCAATTCATTACTCATCTTGTCTGCAAAGGCTGTGATTTTTTTTTTTTATGTAAAGTAATGATATTTTGTTAATTGCTGCCACAGTACCAACTTTAATATTATCAGCTTTGTAAAATCCTCTATATAGATATTTCTTGTAAGACTCATTGGATTCTGCCTTTTTAAAGCTTTATAACATTTTAGCTACCGCATTCCTAGTCTAATGATCTGTTTCCATTTAATGATGCCATGGTACTATGCTTTGTGTTTTAGCATCAAATATATCTGTTTTAGGAGTTATTTGGTTTTCCTTTGTTCCAAATGCAATTTCTTAAGGAGTTTGGCTTTCCCTTTGTTGTGTTGTCTTTCTGACTGTGAATTCCAATTAATGGTAGCAACGAAGCCACTTTTTAGACAAAAAAATCTTCATGTCGCATATTTAATATCCTGGGTTAACTAATATTTTATCAGATAGATATAGATTGTCTTTATTAAATAAATTTGGTTACTGCTCTGAATTGTATGAACTGACAACAGGGATATGCGCCATCTAATTCAGATAGAAGGGAGGGAGCTCTAAGGAGGAAACACTTTGAGTATCTTGATTGTGTTGGCCAATTTTATGACATTCCTGACACTGAACGATCAGCTGATGAGATTAATATGCTTTGCCAGGTACCTTTAACCCTTGTTTATTCTCAAACTTGATTGTTGGCATTCTATGCCTGATTTAAAAATGCCGTTTATTCTGTTTGTTAGATTGCTGTTGTTGATTGTCCCAGGATGGTACCTGATGTTGCTATCTTTCTGCAAGCTCAAGTTAAAAAATCCTTGAAGCGCATTCTTTATACGTGGTATGAAACTATTTTGTGTTGATGAATTCACATTTATTGACGGCCTTCTTATGCAAAACTCAAATTTTTTTGAAAAATGTAAAACTTTAGTTTTTAACGATGAAATGTTTGATTATATAAACCTGTTCAACCACTAAAAGACCGGACTGGATGGTAAAAATACTGGTTTTGTATTTATTTATAATTTATGAGATATGCACTTTTAATCTCCTGGTTTATATTAAGATATTAATATTAATCTTAATGCATTTTTTGTTTAATTATTTACTTCTTTTATAGTTTATTTTACATTAAATTAAGTGTTTAAAGTATTTAAACCTAAAAAACTCAAGGAAACATTGAATTGCCTGGTTGAACCAGGAATGGAGGTCTAATCAGTTTGGCCTCTAGTCCAGCTTTTTAACATTGATTTACGTTTTCTTAGAAGCTAGTTTTGAGATAGAGGTGTTGTTTTGTGGGTAACCGATGCTGCACTTCAACTTCTTGTGCAGGGCCATTCGGCATTCTGCAAGTGGATATGTGCAGGGTATAAATGATCTTGTAACACCCCTTTCTAGTTGTCTTCTTATCGGAGTACTTAGCAGGGAGCATGGATAGTTGGTCAATGTCTGATATGCCTTCTGAGAAGATATCCGACATAGAAGCTGATTGCTACTGTTGCTTATCAAAGTTGCTCGATGGCATGCAAGACCATTACACATTTGATCAACCGGGAATCCAGAGGCTTGTATTTAAGCTGAAGGAATTGGTTAGGCGCATTGATGGTAAACTCTATGGAGACCTTTCGGTTCTCTCCCTAAAATTTCTCCTTTTATGAGCTCAACCACTTTCTGCTTTATGAAGGGATTTTAAGTCATCATTTACCGAGTAAATTTTGTTTTGTAATAGTTCCTAAGAAAGAAAGAGGTTGGGAATGCATGTGCAGGCACATCCTTTTTCTTGATGTTACAGAAAAAGAACCAGCTCATTATTATTACTCTTTTATTTTTTTTATTAAGTAGAGAAGTATTACATTCTCAAGGAAAATACTAGGATTTGAACCCACACAAGGTGGAACAACATGAGCATCCTTGACCACTCAGCCAATTAATGGATCTCATTATTATTACTCTTTGTGCGTGGGTGAATGGGGGAGGTGCATCTGTTTTTGAGTATTTTCTTTGTTTGGTTATGATGAAAGGAAAGATGTTATGTCCCTATCTAATATTCCCCTATATGTTGTGTTTACAATTTTCATTATTGACAAACTTTTGTCTATGTTTTCATGTTCTAGTTTCATCTCTTTGTCTTAGTGACTTCTTTGTTCTTCAACTTCTACCAGAACCTGTTTATAGACATATGGAGGACCAAGGACTTGAATATCTTCAATTTGCTTTTCGATGGTTCAACTGTTTGCTTATACGCGAGGTAAGGTTTCATTGCATTACCCACATTCATTGGTTTATCCTGCATTTCGATTTTTTTTATGTATGCTTGACCAAATGCTTCAACTTTTATTTATTTATTTTGTTTGTTTAACAGATCCCTTTTCATCTAGTAACCCGTCTAAGGGACACGTATCTTGCTGAAGGAGATGCACTGCCGGATTTCCTTGTTTACATATTTGCCAGTTTTCTTTTAACGGTGTGCACTCTCGCTTCCTTGTGCTGAACTGTTTTACTAGCTTTCATCTTTGACTGCATTTTGCAACCTTAAGGAGAAGCAACTTTGGTAATTTTTCAATTAAAAAGATGTTTGTCAGTGTGTGTTTGTTCTTTCTTTTCCTTATCTAATAGAGAAATAATCATGATTTCTTTTTTCAAAAAGATGATGATTGCTTATGTTTTCCAAGACTTCATTTTACTTGAAGTACCAATGTCAACACATATTTGATGCATATCTAGAAATAGGTATGGGCATATCCAAGGACCTTTGAAATATATGGAAAAAAGAAAAGAAAAAATTGAACATATCCATATCTGACACGAACACCCTAGTCCAAGTAACATAGATGATGAAGAAGGACAAGATGTTGTATTGAGGACATCAAACTAAAAGCGAGCATCTCTTACAGCTTACTTCATATGCCTAAAAGCTTGTATTCTCACAAACTTACATTATTCAAATTTATAGATGCTGGTTTTCCTAGATTGCTAGTCAGCCTGTTTACTTGCAAGTTGCATCATTTATGTTAAGGTGTAATGTTCAACTTTGAACTTTGCTTCTGCATGGTTCAGAAGGAATAACACTTGGCAACTTTTCAATTTCCGCATGAACACTGCTAATGAGCTTCTATGTTACTCGAACTTGGGTGTGAGTTTGGATACGTCAACACTGGTATGTATGTTCCTTGGTGCGTCATGTCACATGCTCATATCCTAATATGCATTAGGGACGTGTACTTCAAGCAAAATGAAGAGTCCGATCAACATAGATGAGCTTTACTTTGTGATTCCTAATCATTCAACTGCAGTTATTTTTGTTTTAATGATGCTTTGATGCCGGATGTGTCCTGAAACATTTTTCTCATCACGATTGTTCATAACCGCTACAAAACTGGCAAAACCCTGATTGATGAAAGCTTTATTCTATATGTTTCAGTGGTCAGATGAACTTCAAAAGCTTGACTTCCAAGAGATGGTGTTGTTCCTTCAATGCCTTCCAACTCAAAACTGGACATTTCAGGAGCTTGAAACGGTACTTTCTCGGGCTTATGTATGGCACATTATGTTTAACAAGTCTCCCAGCCACTTAGCTAGTTGAGCTTAAATTTTATGTTATGTTATTTATTCAATTTTCGTCTCTTTTAAATTCTCTTTGTTTGTTGATAAAAGTGAATAAGAGAGTTATGAGCATGTTTTTATGTGTTCGAGTAGAGGCCAAGAACTCCTCTTATTGTGGCATGCTATGTTACCTGGACTTAGGGGTGTAGGAATTTGGTGGGTTTTCTAGGTTTCTTTTTTTTCCCCATTTATTTGGTGGTTTCATAGGTCCATGTTCAAATGTTTATCAGCCACATTCGACGAATTTGAATAACTTTAGGGAAAATTAAGACTCTGGATAACATAGGTTTCTTGTAATACACATCAACCTTGGAAAGCAAGAAAGATAGGGAAAATTAAAGAGAATGGTGTTTGTGTATTTGGATGACAATTGTTGAACCAATCCATATTGGTGGCCTATAGACAGTATTGTTAATTGTGTTGTTCTTGTTGGTCTACTTCATACCACCTATATATGCTCCCCTCCGGCCACTGCGATTACAAACACGTTAAGTCACATTGCATAAATTCGGACATAGTCATGGCTGTTCTCAATCCGATCAACATGTTTGACATAACTATTCATATGTATATACAAGTGTAAAGGAATATAACCTTCATTTATTAAGTTAATAAACAAATATGAACAAATTTTTATGTTCATTTAATAAACAAACGAGCACGAACAACGGTGTGTCAATTTATTTATGTTAATGAATAAGCTCGTTTATAGATTCATTTGTTTCATTTATCCAGTTGTTTATAAGTTTGTTTGTTGACTCGTTTACTCAATTTATTTTCTTCTTCTTTTTATATTTTAAATATTAGTGAAGATATGAACTAAATTAAACAAAAGGTGAACTTTGGAGTTCAAATTGTGAAACCCAAAGAACATAAGGAATAGTGGTGTAATTTAACTATTTTCTTTAGCTTGCAAAATAATGGGTAAAAAACTAAGAAGAGTGTTGGTTGCCAAACATTAACTGAATATGTTCATGAAAGTTAAACAAATATATTCACGAAAGTAAAATGAACATATTTGCGAACGCTAAACAAACATATTCATAAGCACTAAACAAATATATTTATGAATGTTAAACGAACGAACACTAAACGATCAAACAGGAACACCTTCAAAAATAGATAAACAAACGTGATATTAAAAATTTAAAAGAACATAAACTGAATATGAACACCTTTAGAAATAAACAAACAAACTCTAAAATAACTTTATTCGTTCAACCTCGGTTCATTTACAATTCTATATGTATAGTTCAAGATCTTGTTGAACAGTTTTGCATTACTATAATTGAAATACCAAATTTAAGGAATCATTAAGGCTCTATAATGAGCAACAAGCACGTATCCGGGCATAGTAGAAAAATATGGAGCTACAAGTTACACTGCAAACATGCATCCATGTGTATGTGTATAAGGGAAGATTTGTTTTTGACAACATCAGAATTCAATCTGTTAAAACACAAATCAGGCAACTATCTATAATGTTGTTCTTGATACACAGTTCCCACATAACTTACTGAGACACAAAGTATGGTAGATGTTGATCAAGATCATGAATCCTAACTTCAACCCCAAACATTGAGCAGATACACAATCTTAGAGTGGGGTCGATCGAGAACAACTTTGCTACACAAGTCCATCGGCATCAATAAAAATCAACAAAATGCATCTCATATGAGAACCGAGCCAGAATAGGTCTTGCTCTCTAGGAGCTTGAATCTGCAGTAATGGTGTCACGATCTCGTTCACCTTAGGACTGCAAATTGTCAAACAAGATCCAGTTGCTGCCTCTTTGACTGAAACAGAAAAACCAGCAATTCAGACACTGAAAAATAAAATCCGCCTCAAAAATCACTACAGATTTGTCAAATTCATTAAGCAATGACTCGGTAGTCCGTGTTCAAAATGATATTAATCAACATGCAAGCCCAATCCTCGGATCAACAGCAATACTTCCTATTTCTTTCTCCTCAGTTCTCTCTGTTACTAAGCATTAGTGAAAACACCATATTTTTCACTCAAAGCCACGAGATTAGGGTGTTACAATATTATAGCCTCGAGTATCGGTACTACTAAGAAATAATACATCACGTTTTTTCCACTCTTACCAGACGTCTAGAGCTTTTGGTAGCATGTTCTAAGTTCTGCAGTATCATGTCATCTTCGAATAACAAATGGTGCAAGATATTTTTTTCCTAAGCTTCTCCTAAATGATTTCCCTTCCTATTATCACCATTAGAGAAACATAGTTCTACAAATGCACTCATAACATCCAATAGGAAGATATATAAGGCACGCACGCGCGAGCACACACACATATAACTAAGTAGAAAGGAAATGGAATTCTCATACATTTTTCTTTTTAACATCTTCGAGGAATCTCTCAGGATACTCCAGATATTCAATACAATCCTTCTTTAAAACCGCTACAAGCTCTTCCTTCCCAACATTCTCGAGGTTTCTTAACAAAATTGTAAAGGTTAACTTATCTGGGGAACAACCAGATGACTTGAGTCTGTCATATGTCTCCATCGCCTTCTCGATCATACCGACTTGCAAATATGCTCCAATCAACTCGGTGTATGCCCTTGTATTCGGTTTCAAGCCATCTTCTTTTACTTCATCAAAAAGTTGTTCAGCCATTTCAATCATTCTATTCTTTCCCAACAGCTGAATCATGTCACAGTACAAAGACATGTCTGGTTTGTACCATACTTCCTTCCTCACAAATTTGAAAACCTAAATCCCGACATCATCTCAGCTAAAATACCATAATTGAAAATCAAAACAAAGATTATAAACTAAACATGAAAATGAATCATAATCAATAATAGATTTCCTTCCATCTCAATTCAAAGACCTAGACCCCTAACATTATTTCACATAAAAACCCAGAACTGAAAACTGAAATGCAAGATAAAAGTCACAACTTGAGCATGAAAACAAATCATGATACATATAAACTTAAAGGGTTCCTTCCATTTCAATTCAAAAACCTAAAATCTCACAACTTTTCATCTAAAAACTCAGCATTAAAATCTGGAAATCAAGATAAAACTGAAAATTTAAGCATGAAAATGTATTACAATACATATAGCTTCAAAGGGTTCCTTCCTTTTCTATTAAAAAATCTAAACCCCTGACATCACTTCAATTAAAACCCCACAAACGAACATTAAAAAGCAAGAGACAAGTAATAAATTAAGCATGAAAACGAATCATAACACAGATTTAAAGGGTTATTCCACTTTAATTCAAAGACGAAAACCAGTAAAAAAACTGAAAAGAAAAATAAAAGTTAAACCTTAAGCACGCAAATAAATGTTAATACATACATAGATGTAAAAAAAGGGTACCTTGAGGGCTAAGGGGAATTCGTTTTGTCTCTGTAACTCGGCCAAAGTGTCCAAAAGGTCAGCTTTAAGTAACCTGGAAAGCCTGGTGGAGAAAACATGGTGTAATTTGGAATCGGAATTGGCTAACTTGAGGGAATGAACGGCTTGGATGGCTTCCGTGGAAAGCACCCTTGATTTCCACAAGGGTTTCCTTGTTCCTCCTCTAAGCCTACAAGTGACAGTACTGGGTAGCTCAAGTTTCTTCTGTTTTTTTTTGGGGGGTTTTCATAAATCCCATTTGAGGGACTTGGGAAAATTTCAGGGTTCCCATTAAACTGGGGTTTGATTATTGTATTAAACGGAGAAGATGAATGTTGTGTTTTGCTAGTGAAAGGAAACTGTGGCTAACAACTTCTAGTCATTCCTTCATTTCTTTCAAATTAGGAGAAATTATTCAAATGACCAATTAATTATAGGGTTAATATTGATATAATCATTATACTTTTAATTTTGATAGTATAACCATATAACTATTTAAGTGGTTTTAGTGTAGCCATTTGTCGTTACAAAACACGTGATGGAGTTGATGTGGTTGTTATTTACTAATGGCGAGTCAAAGGTCTACATCAACTATATTGTTTGTTTTGTAACAATAAATTACTATATTGAAACAACTTAAATAATTATGTGGTCATATTGTCAAAATTAAAAATATAATGATCCTAGTAATACTAACTATATAATTAAGTAGTCACTCTAACCTATGAATATGGGTCGACCCTTGTATATTTTTTTTATAAGAATTGCATGTCTTGTTTAGAAAAACTCCTTCATTATCCTCAACATACAAAGAGAACGTTGATGGACAACGAAAGGAGGAAAACAATACCCAAATATATAAAATAATGAGTCCATTAAAACCTAAATAACAACTACAACTTTATCAATCTTGTAGACACTCGTTTTTTCTCGGGATTTATTATTATTATTATTATTATTATTATTATTATTATAAATAATTACATTTTGCAAGCCCGATTACAAACAAAAAACCAAACTCGGTTTTAAATTACCCAAATCAAATTATAAGGACCCAACTACAACAGCAAACATGCCCATTTTGGTTCAAGCCCAAATAACCCACCAACCCGACCCAAGATCAGACCCGTGCATGAGAGCCCAAACCCAACTAGGGTTTTCATCTCTAGCTTCAGTCGCCACCCCACAGCTGTTGGATCTAAAATCAGATCCAACAATCCAGATCACCTAACAATAATTAGGGTTTTTACCCTATAACCTACCAGCAATTGTCAATTAGCAATGAGTCATTCGACTAGTGCGAGTGGTACACGCCTCACCATTCGACTTCCCGTCGTGTGAGCCATCACCGGTCGACATCCTAAGCCACTGTCGTCATCAATAGACCCAAAACAATGAAAAAAACAGTCAAAAAACTAAATTAACCAACCAATTTAAAAATCATCAAAATCCCACTAAATCTGTAACCCCCTAGACCCGGCCTATGCATTTTGACTAAGTCTAGTGGATCACATTATGATTCTTTAAGACATTTTTCCGAAACCGTTATTCAAACAATGTAAAATCACATTATAAATGACATGAAATTATAATAAATCATACTATCAAAACCTAACTTGTAAATATAATACCAATAAGTAATAAATTAATTTAAAACATATCTTAAAAATCAAATCACGATAAACCGAATAGTAATAGTAAAAATGTCATCATATTAAAATCCCATACTTTAAAATAAGGTCCATGTC